ATCTCTAGAAAATGGTGAATTGACTGTCTCATGATAATTACCGATCGCATAACAATTTTTTGAATTAGCGTAGGAGAGGATAACGAACTGCTCTATCTCGAAGACTTGTTCTTCCCTTGTCAGAACAATATAACTCCTTCGTTTCTTCAGTCTTGCATATTTTCTTGAATGAATTACTTCGCCATTTATTACTAGCCTTATAGCAAGTTCAATGGTCGTAGCAGATTCCGCGTGAATGTCAATTCGTCTTAGCGCTAGATAATAAGGACGACTAAGATGTACATTTTGCTGCATTATACCTAAAATACCAGCATTACCAATCCGGAGAGAAACGTTTGGGATTATTCTACAATGCATCATTTTTCCTAAGAAATTCCTCTGAGAGTCACTCAAGCTTTCCTCACAAATATTTTTCAACTTACATACGACAATTTGATAGCGAAACGAATCACAAATCTGAAATGGAACACCATTGGAGCTATGAACATAATTTTTCAAAGTGAAATTGAATGATTCATGCATAAAAGTGCTATGAGTCCAAAGAGGACCCCATTGCAGAACACTGTCTGGAAGATGAGTGAGGAGATGTACATTAAATGAAACGAACTGGATTCCATACACATCTTTTACACCTTTCACAAATTCATAAATGGATTGGCGTGCATGTTCCACTTCAGAACGCATTATGGATGTTTTTAATAATATAGAAATTCCGTCAAGTAATAATGCCCAGTGTTCAACGTATTTTCGTGGAGCAATCTCTCCTAGAATCGGTAAACTGTTGAATAGTAACCAGATGGTCCACTCGTGAGCTTTCCAAAATTTTGTGCTTCCAATTTTTCTAGTTGTCCTGGAAATTGCCAACGTTGGAGTGAAGGATTCAAGTAGACTATTTATCGAAGCTTCATTGTGGCCTAAATAGAATGACTGGGAATGGTACTCTGAATCTAACCAAAGTTTACAAAATTGCTTGGCCACACCCAGTGTCGCGAGATGCATCCAGTCAGCTACAAGACAATCAATCACATTAAAGCCTGGTACATCATACATAATTGATTGTCGTCTCATTCCTTTTTCCCTGTTCATTGAATGAATCCAGGTATCCTCATGATTTCGGAGACTTTCTCCAAAAGGATTTCCGTCATCATCGATTGGGTATACTTTGACAGTGCCTCTTCCTTTAGGTACTTGGATTCCACGATGCAGGCAAAGTCGACAGTCATATTCATGATTGAATTGAGATGAGCCTCTCACTAAGGGCCTTGCAACGGAGTCACAAATTCCCGCCAAAACCTGACATTTTTTGTGATATGTGTCTCCTTGATAAACATAATCTATACCACTCATATGTAGATTTTGTAATTCAGTGACGAACGGCCTCAAGAATTCATCCATGTATACTGGTTTGCCCTCCCCGAACCATAAACTACACAGTATCATGTGTTTTCCTCTCTCTTTTGGTGGAATTTCATTGATGTTACACAAAACGGGGTACAGTGACATTGCAGAACTTTTGTGCACAGGTGTACCATCGACATTAAAATTAAGAGTGATACTATCCCCAGACACAATCTTCCTATACATATTTCCATCGAAGATATCTTCCAATGCGTGTCTATTTTCCTTCACTCGATTTTCCGGAGTTATCAGTTTTCCATGGTGGAGTTCAAGAAAATACTGAATTTGATCCTTGAGATTCAAGTACAAAACAATATTTCCATTCCTCTAATTGTTGCTCATATCGACGACTTGATCACACATAGAGCATGCCAATAAATTATTTTCGACAACTGAATCACCAACTTCGCTCCCTACATAAACGTGAGATTTATCACAAAAGTGATGGATCGACATACAATCGCAGAGACTATTTGAAATCTTTTGCCAGTCATACTTGGATCTGTGAGTGACTCTTGCATCAGTCAACACTTGTGCCAATAACAAAATGTCTTCTGTAGCTGAGTAAGAAAAACCACGTCGCAATTTCGTTGCCAGGGCTAGAAGAATAGTTATTAATTCTTCAGTAGAATATCCCGTCAAAGAGAGAGGTAAGACATGATGAATTCTGTTCGCTTCAGAATCAATCATTCCTTCATCTCGAACAACTGGATCTTCTTCACTATCGTCGTTACTTGAGTTACCATAAGCCATTGAGCCTTCTCCTTCGGACATCTCTCCATCTGAAGATTGCTCAGGTGAATCTTCATGAGCAGCATCCATCAGTTTCGAAGGCTGTGAAGAATGAAAATGTCATGATTATGAAGGTAGCTGAATAAATAAAGTATTGTGCGGTCATTTATTGAGAGTTTTTCGATTCAACCAGTTAAAGTTATTTTGCATAGTCTACATGATATCCAACCGATGATTTCTGAACAAACGAACCCGTCGTATAATTCAGTTCAAACTACCATACTTTTTTCTTTATAAAAATAGAAAAAAACTGATAATGAAGGAATACTGGAATAATATCTATAGTGAGGTTGTAAAACGTAATAAGTCAATTTTTACATTTCTGGTAATTGTGCATTTGTCTTGGAAACCACTGATCCTGGAAGAAAATTTCAAATAACTCTTTTTGTATCTGGAGAAATTCACATAAAAACTTCACTTTTGAAATTTTCTCCTAAAATCACTCATTATTGAAATATTGTCGTATTCCACAAGATACAAAAAATTCTCTTCTTGCATTTCATTCTTTGCTACTGATATGATCAAGTTTCGGCATCACTCAAAAACGTTTAAATATTAATTGACTGGTGAAAAAAACAACAAGCAACAGATTCAATATTTACATCCCTGACAACAGGCTCATTCCTCCGTTCATCATGCTCCACAACTAATTCTGTGCTGTAATAATAAATTAAAATCGATTAATTCAGAGGAGGGAATTTCCCTCCATTTTTTTTTGTAGAATTCTAAACACTTTATTCCAGCAAAAAACCAACCTCTCAATTATTCTTCTTGCTCTCCAACGACGTGCTGTTCGAGTAGGAATTGCCATGTTATTCCCATAGTGGGTATATAATTTATATTTTTTTTTAAGTCTCGATTGACGATCCATTTCACAATTACACTTCGATGATATAATTCCCTTGACATATAATATTATATTTATGACTCTGGAAATAAACACTGTCTAACGAAGTGGATCTAGCAATGCCACATTCCACTGACGTTTGTTTATTTTCGTAAAATCTCCACGCGGGAGCCTTTCGATGTGTTGGAACCAATGGAAGCATTCCCTTTGAATGTGTACACCAAGATGTGAGACTGACCTCATCAAACTCAAATCCATCAGATGGATGTGTTTAAACGTGCAGTGATCCTAGGCTGTGTGATACATATGTGCACTAGAACATTTTTTGCAGATTTTTTTTTTGCTTCCATTTGACGCTTGCATTAAGCCAGTAAGTTTACCATTATTTCGTCTTAATCTGTGGTTGATCAAATGTATATTGACTATGGTGGTGCTTCCGCCATGTTTGTTCTTAAATGGTCTATTCACTGTGTGATTACAACGTGACAGAACGTGTTTATGTCTCTAGAATTACCATTACGTATATTGTAGCATTTACGTAACTTGCTAGTTATTCAGCCTCATTAGAGGAATTTTCCAAGTAAGTATTAAAAATTTCTCCTTCAAAATTACTTCGTGATGAATAGATATTTACAAAAAAAAGTGATGAAATCTGGCTTTGTGATTAAGTCTTTGTTTCCCCGACGTCATTAGATTCCATTTCAAGGATTATTGTACCCTATTCAATCAATAATTTTTATGATAAGTGTTAATTAATTAATTTGTGTGTGATATCTGCCAGAATGCCGAAGCTTTTTGCCATGATAAAATGGATCGGAGGGGAGGATGATGGAAAGATCTCTGTGGGTGTGCCAACTGATTGGATCATGAATTTCAACTTTGAAGAGTTTTTGTCAGAAAATTTCGACCCCGATTTATCGTATGTTATTGAATCGCGACAACCGGTGAAGAAACCAGCAGGAGGTTGGCCCAAATTCGATGGCTTGATACTGGATGTAGCGTGTAAGTAGTCAAGTAATTATTCTTTTCTGTTTCTTCGTTACGTACGTGAGATATCAGGCGTTAATAGCGCGAACTTGCCTCTTTTTCAGCTACTGTTCTACAATTGGAACGCAAAAGTGTCAATTATGTTTACCCAAAATCTTCTCGAATAATAACTTCAACAAAAGAAATTGGATCACAATCTAACATCAACAGATCCACTCAGCCTTCCGGATCAACAAAGAAGCGACCCTCTGATGGACCCATAAGTCCTGCTCAAGTCAAGGTCAGACAAGACAATTTTATAATTAATAAAATAGACTGTTCTTATATGAGGCATTCATATATCGAATGCAAAGTCATATTTTTTCCTTTTTAAATGACAATGCGAAGAAATCCTGTAGCGAAGTGATAAAACGTGGTAAGTGTATTTTTGCTATCTTTGTAAAACTCCCATTATCTCAGTAAAGAATGATTTTAGAAAGTAAACTCATAAAACCATTTTTGTAGCTAATTGATTTTCCAACCAAATTTTTCCTTGACGTTTTCTCCTAAGATGATAATATGCGTTTTAAGAAGAAATGAAAAATGCACTTACCTCGTTTAACCATTTCGCTACAGAATTGGATTCTCCAACTAGACCTTCATCGTGACTATGATTTAAAAAAACTGGTAATAATTCAATAATGAACCAGGTGGCAGTTGCGAAATGTGGAACGTTTATTATTGACTTGAAATTTCAATATCCTTGTTTTTGTACACAGATATCAAGTATTACATGATATGCCACAAGTTCCACTTTACCCTGACTTCTTCCTAGCTTATTCTTCTTCTAATTATTTCTCATGTTTGAAACTTCAGTCAATTCCAGTGGATTTTTAGCCTTCCACAATTTAGTAAAGAAAATTAGTCACATAAATGTCTGGAGTCCTATTATCGTTTTAAGTGAGATAATTTTCTTTGTCATCGTCGTTGAGAGTCAGGGCTGTAGAGGCAGGGCAATACTCTTTTATTATTTTTCATAGACTGTCTATGTTCTTTATTGCCAGATATACAAAAAAACTTCAAGAATTTATGACACATCGAGTGATTCTGAGCAGTCTGCCGAAGACGCTCTGCATGATGATCAACGTACTCCTCTACGAACCCTCAACCCCCCGGCCCCAGTCCAACTGCTGAACATACCCAGAAGAAGAGAAGAAGTGGTTCAGATCAATCATGGTACTTCTTTTGAATATTTCCATTTCAGTAATAATTTCAGCTAGTTCCATGGAGAATTTTTGGTTAATCTAGATGACGATATACGTGAAAATGCGAATGATGCCTCAGCAGATGGAAATCGAGGCACAGAGAGGGGAGATGCAGCAGCTGGAGGTACCTTCTTTTATCATTTCTATTGTACGGATAATTCCCATTTATATAATGAGAAAATTGTTCCACTTATTATGTGATGCAGGTGACGTCAATGAAGAAGTCTTGCAAATTAACAACCAGCCTCCAGCAAATCCACAGGCCGAGAACAGAAGAAGGGGCAGAGAATCTCCAATTCGCAATGGTATCTTTAGAGCTTATTTTTAGTCCCTGCATAAATTTTTCAATTTCCTGTCGGTTCATTCTTTAATTCATCAGCTGCTAGACTCGATGATATCAACCCGGAGGATTTCCGCAATCTTGCCAATTTACTCCAGCAAAACATTAGGAATCATGAGCAACAGGACCGTGAGGATGAGGATGCAAATTTGGTAAAAGAAAATTATTTGATAATTATCGTAATGCGAATTTCAACTATAAATATTCAAAATTGTCTCTATTTTGTGTATCGCAGCCGTATGAATTTCCGAGTCAAAATTTTCCTAATTATCATCCAAAAACATGTGCTAATCTTGAGAAAATAAAGTTCTCTGTTCAATAGAAAAATGGAATATTTTAATGAACAAATTGTCTAATCTGGTCGGTTGATCCTCTCTTTGAACTGTTTCTCGTTCAGTCATTGAATAGATTCTTCTTCAAATATCATGCGATTATTCAAATCATTAGCAGAACCACTTATAGCGTTGATATCATGAATGAAGTATAAAAGTCAAAAACTTTCTCGTCATAGGTGGAAGTTGGATTCAGGGGAAGTGGAGTGACGTTGTCAAAATTACAATGGAATGCAGCCATAGAGCAAAGAACCTTTACGGCTATGGCGATAACTCTGGTCATGTCACTGTTCGAACGCGATGTTTTACTGAAGAGCAACGTGAAGGGGGGTAAGAATAAGATCAGAAAACCTGCAGAGAATGTTCCCAGACATCAAGCATTAGATCCTCATATCCTCCAGGCAATTACAGGTGATTTGTTAAGAATAGAGCATTACCATTCTAACTTATCATAATTATTGAGTAGGGAAATGCTACTTCGCATCGAATGAATTTGTTCGCTATTCTTCAATCAAAAGTTTTCTCCAAAAAATCGTGGAAATGAAATGAACAATTGGATTTCTCTCATAATTTTTAAGTTCAGAATCTATAATGTGTGAAATGTCCTTGTATATTCTTTTAGAAGCTGTGAGAAAAAAATTCCCCAACTCCTTTAAGAGAGTCGATATGCATAGAGCAATAAATGTGAAATTGAATACTCTCAGACGAGAGGTCCGACTCCATGCTGAAGCTGCTGCTGCTGGTGCCACTTTTGCTAGAGCCGCAGTTTAAATGGTCGACAGTCGCTGCCCATCGAGTTTCAACGAGAAGAAAAATATCTAAAATCTTGTAGACGTTTCTGCTGTTATTTTCTATTTTGTATGCCAGAGCACATCGAAGTTCATTAGATATTTTTTTCGTATTGGTGGATTATGCTGAGAATGGGTTTTCGTCTTCCACTCCATGATATTTATGTTCACTCTGAGAGGTTTTTATTCTATTTCGGAAGTTCATTCACGACAGATACGTTTCAAATCAGCATTGATGAAATATGCAAGTCATCCCCAATTTAGTAACTGCTTTGTTTTGCTCATTCTCTCTCCTATGGGACCATGTTTTTCATAAAGAAGATTTAAGATCTTTTTCAGATTGGATTTGCTAAATACGATTGGTTGGGCATTTTTTCCAACGTATTTTATTTACGACGGGGTGGAGAAATGATACTCGTTTCTATTTTGAGGGCATTTAGTTGACAGAGTGGTTGAGAAATTTCGTAGAAATGTTTTTCTGTTCAGTTAATTTTATATATGATTTAATATCGATATACAGCTATCGACTCATTTTTAGTTCTGAGTTTATTTGGCCAATTATGTTATTTTTTTTAAATCTAATTTAATTTAATTTGATGATTCTGAATAGATGCTACAATGCCGAGAATGTTCAGATTATCTCATACTGACTGAGTTGAGACGTAAGAGTTCTTTTTTTAGTTTATCATACGAACAGAGCTCAATCAGACATAATAGTGTATAATGAATAAATAAATAATTTTCTCACGAGTCTTTATGAAGCGTTATTTAAGTAGCAGCAGTAAAAACTTATAGATGCAATATATATTTAGACTGGAATGCATGACTCGCTTCGTATATATTTATCGATAAACATATATATCGCATATATCTGAAAGCTATTTAACATATTCTTCCCATATATAATAAATCCATCACAATTATAGCAAAAAGTATATAAAGGGGGCCTATAAGTGCCATATATGTGAAACTCGTGTTATTTTATGAGCGAAGTTTAACCGACATATAATTAGGAAAATTCTAAGTTCAAAAACCTGACGTATATTTTCACATATGTTTCGCATATATAATTTTCCGTGCGGGATCACAGTGTGTATTTTGATTGTATGTAAAATAATTGTGAAAATTAGTTATATTCGAATTTTTATTATGTATTTTATCCTAATAATAATAATAACAATAATATTGATTGATTAAGTTACTAAACTTTATTCAAATTCCTTTTTTTTGCTTGTATATTAATGTATTAAAGTTGATGGTCAATCATTTTTTAAAATAAACATTGTTTATTAATAATTGAATGAATTATTTTCTTTGTCTGCTCTCCAAATCCTTAGTTTTCATGAAGATGAATATTGTTGTACTGGCCTCCCAGATACTCTAACTTTGGCGACCTTTTTTTTATTTGATTCTGCAGGTCTTCGAAGTGCTTAGGGTTTTGAATAAAAAACTTGGACAGTCGCCCAGGCAAGAAAATTGCAGCACTATCATCCAAATGGCATATCACATTTATTCCATGTCTCGTCTTGCTTTTCCAAGCTGAAGTTATGGTATATCGATGGTTCACTACTAGTGCAGACAATTGGCCGAGTGGAAGTTGTTTCATTTTTTCGTTTATTTAATTGAAAAGAGCTCGATCATGTTCATCGGTAATGGTGGGATCAGGCTGAACATGGCCACTGGATCCATCCTCAGCATACAGGAATGTCGGACAACCCTTTTCAATATGTTTGCAAAAAATGGAGTGAATGTTTGACAGATGCAGAATAGTTGTGCACCCCATTTTGTCTCAGCCTTGAAAGCTGCCGTGATAGTGTACAAGAAATTGTCCAGCAGTTGAAACAACTTGATAACGGGCAGCTCTTGGATCTCTGCGCTAGCGTTGATTACATCGAAATTCAGTTGATCTTCAAACTTCAACTCTGGATCAGGATGAAAGCGTATATTGTGATATTTTCCATCCAAATATTGCAATGTTGATGACCCCTTGGCAATATTTTTTTGGAAATTCTCGAACACTTCGTCATTTTTAGCGAAGAATTTAGCTAACCTTTTATTAACGAAAACGGCCTGAGTGTTTGATAAATGGACAATAACACTCTCTCCATATTTTGTGTTCACGTTACGAGCCACTGTCATTTTATAGAAACAGTTGGGATTCAGATCCGAGAGCTTCACCAGGGGAAGATCTTTCAATTCTCCCACAGCGTTGACCTTGACAAAATTCATGATGTTTTCTCCTTAATCAAGTCGCGAATACAGAACGATGACGTCACTTGTTACTTTTTTACTTCTCAGGATACAGCTTGGAAGCAACTTCAAACTTTTCTACACTTATAGTTATTTACTGAGAACGGTTGATTAAGTGATGATGATGATCATGATCTAATTTTCGGGGATTATATACACGCAACCCCCACTCTATCTCTAATAACTGATCATAACAATAATACGTATATGTTATTTTGTATCATGACCGGCCGGGGGAATAGTATTAGTAAGGATAATAAAGATGACGTGATATATATTATGAACATACAAGTTCTAACATGTTTGAGCTAAAAATAGTCTGGTGAACAATAGATTTTTTCACCTGTCAATCATCGGAATCAATCAATCGATTGATCTATTAATTCATCAAACCGCGACTTAAAACAACACCCACCCACCCACTTTCACATGAATTGCATTTCATACCTCCAATATCTCTTCAATGCGGTGGCCTATGGGAAGCTGCCGTCAAATCCTGCAAACATCCCATGAAGAGAGTCAACAGCAATGAACTGCTCACGTATGAGCAACTCAACACAATCTGCATCAAAATAGAGGGAATCCTTAACTCCAGACCTCTCACTCTATTATCTTCTGATCCCAATGACTTCTCTGCACTCACACCAGCGCACATCCTGGATGGAAAACCTACCATAGATTGGTCTGAGACTCCGAAAATTCGCCTTTCTCATTGGCAACACCTAGAGCGGATAAAGCAACACTTTTGGAACCGATGTCACAAGGAATACCTCTCTGAGCTCAACATCCGATATAAGTGGACCTCGTCACTGATAACATTACCATTGGATCATTAGTATTGCTCCGCGATGATAATTCGCCTCCTCTAAAATGGCGTATGGGAAGCATCATCGATGTATTTCCTGCTGAAGATGGTATCATTCGTAAAGTGAAGGTAAAAACTGCCATCAATACTGTTAACGGAAATGTGAGACGCCTCGCACCTCTACCAATGAACCCCATCACTGACACAATCGACTCTTGATCGCAATAGTCTCAAGGGGGGAGTATGTTGCGTGCTTACACGCGAAACTGCGACATTAATTTCTGTAGATTCCCTTATTATCCCCTGATTCTTATTTCTCCCCTTTCATACAATGACGCGAATTTTCCGGGACAAATTAAATCATAAAACGCAATTTTTTATCCTTCGAGCAGCGGCTCCCTCATCATTTCATTGCCCTATTCACAACCTTCCCTAACCCAAAAATATAATTTCTATTTGTTCCATCTTTTTACCATAATAACCTAAATTCTCTCTCTACCCCGGGAAAGTCGCAATTCTCCGCAACTATTAATGGTCATCCTTTTCACCTCTCTCTGTAGAAAAACAGTGAAGACTCCTGATTTGTTTGGCCTTACAAACACCATTTTATATACAGGGTGTCCTAGAAGTACATGCTAATCCTTTACTAGCATGTAAAGAGGGTGATTCTGACCCGAAAAGTCCTTTTCCACTTTTGAATCAGAAGCACCCCCCAGAGATATTCCGGTAAATATGCGAGCCCATGACGCTGCAGCGTTAAGCGGCGGTACGTTTATGTGGCTCCGATATATGCAGGAGCGACGCCCCTTCCAGGCAGCGTGCTATGTGTGCGGAGCCACACGGACGTACTGCCGTTTAACGCCGCACCGTCATTGGCTCTCCTATTTACCGCAATATCTCGGGGGGGGGGGGGGGGGGGGGGTTGCTTCTGATCCAAAAGTGGAAAAGGACTTTTCGGCTCAGAATCACTCCCTGTACATGTTGGTAAAGGATTAGCATGTACTTCTAGGACACCCTGTATATTGTAGACTTTACATATTTTTAGCCAGTTATCATTCAAACATCTGCCTAGTCACATCTAGCAATTCTGTACAAATTATTCAATAAACGAAAAACGTGAAAACGGTTGACGTGTATACCTTCGCCTCACTGCAAGTCTCCCAGCATCAACGTGTCGACTGCCGCCGTTAGGCACGGGTGTAGAGAGCTGCTGTGTTCACCGAGTCAGTGTACCTGATGAACACAGCCGAATCTCCGCAGTACCGGCCGGCTGCGCTACTGAGGTTTTACATGGTTTCCCTCAGTACAAGCCAAATCGGCGCAGTACGGAAAGTCGGCCCATGACAACGCAAAAACAATGAGAGGATAGTAGGAGAGGCTAAAGGCTAAGACAAAGGGGTGTCTATCAAACCTTGAAACTATGGTAATAGCAAAAGGAAAAATGTAAAAAATAAAAAAACAAATGGAAAAATTATTTCATACTTCAAAAAACGGTTCAGACTTATGTGTGATGTTTTCGATCGTCCGTGACTAGTACTTAAAAATCTGAGATATGCATCACAATTTTTTTTGCGGCGCGAGAGATGCATTCACAATTTTCGAAAACAATTTGCCCGTCATTTTACTGCGCTGAAGTTTTCATTAATTCATGATAATAATTCTCAATAGCCTTAGAGAATTTTCAAATTATTGTTGATGGAAATACAAATTCTATTGCAGTTTTGATGGGAAATCAATAACGGCAATTCAGTTTTCAGTAATGAAACTGAAATATGCGGACACATTCAACATAATTATTGAAAATAAAAAGAATGGCTAATTTTTATTTTATTGACATTACCGACTGACTCTCAGCCGAAGATGGGCATTATTTTCGGCCCATATATGGCATTTACTACAGCGCCCTCTCTCGAATAAAGGGGGACTGAGGGAATCATTGAGAAGTGACATGGCCACTTAAGCCCCCTATCACTTATTACTTTTTCAGTCGGCCCTCCTCACTTCTCCCCTTTTGCAGGTTTAGAGTCCCCCCCTTTTTTCTTATGTTATTTGGCGTAGCCGCAAGTGAGTTGGCTTTACCCCCTCACCCTCGAGTTAGTTAGTTGTTAAAAGGCCTGGGATTTTTTTGTTTTAATATGTGTTGTAATGAAACGTGAATAGAGTAAAGTTTAATCTATATAAACCCCTCCCCGAGTACTCATTTGAACCCCCCACTCCCTCTTATTATTTCAGGTCGTCCCTTAAATTATAGCAAATTCCCATTTTTTTAGACGAGAATAAATTCTCTGATTTCCATGCCTTCAACGGGAATATTCATATAGTTATTCCCCTCCAAGGTCACAATATCCATCCCATATCGTTAGTTGCCAGCGAATTTGCAATAATTCGCACGGAAGAGCCTCAGGTGATACATGACTGCATGTATCCTCTGAGTCATCATAGCCACATGCTCCCTTTAGATAGCACTATTGAGCCCCTCAGCCAGACCACGAACACTAGAATCGAGCTTGATATTGGCGCCCCCAATGCCAATAGACAGATCAGGCAGAGAGTGGATGTCATTGACCTAAAAAAGCGGACCTGAAAATGCCTTAGTTTTAGCAACTTCAAGCCGCAGAGAGTTACGGGAAGCCCAGTCCATGACGGAGCTAGCGGCCTCGCTCATTATATGGGTAGCATTCTCCAACTCATCTCGTAGGCAATACATACAACCCTGGAAATCATCAGCATAAATCAAGTGCTGCATCTCCCGTAAAAAATTCTTGGAGGTGTCATTAATAAACAAGCGAAACAACAGGCGACCAAGAACTGTCCCCTGTGGTACCCGCTTGTTAAATGGACGAGCGGAGGACCAATCACCTCCTCCTCTAGACTGCGAGCGGCCGTAGAGATACGGCGCTATCTACCTAATAGCTATTTGAGAGAACTCATAACCGATCAGTTTACGCCGAAGGAAAATATTCGGTGA